CCTACCTCTGCCTCCCTCCCTGTGCGCTGGGATCAAAGGGGTGAAACACCACACATGGCAATAACTGTATGCTTTGTTTTGGTTTGGTTTTTTATACAAATTACTGGAAATGAACAGAAGACTTGAAAAAAAATTTAGAATGTGCTTTAAATATTCTTATTTTTTCAATGCAATCCTACTACTATGAAATGAATTGTCCTAGTAGAGTATCAGCTACGGGAAAGGAAGGAAATTTAATCCAGAATAAATTCAGCAAGCAAACAAAAATAGTCAGGCATCAACTGATAGAAAATATATTGTGAACCCATTGCTTTAAGACTACTTTAATACACATTTTTTAAATGTATGCAAAAGCCAAGTGTGGTGGCTCATGACTTTAATCCCAGCACTTAGAAGGAAGAGGCAGGCAGACCTTTGAGTTGAGGTCACCCTGGTCTACATAGCTGAGTCCCAGGTCTCAAAAACAAAGTATGTGCCAAAAGGGCAGTAGTGGTGCACACCTTTAATTCCAGCACTCAGGAGGCAGAGGCAGGTAGATCTCTGTGAGTTCAAGGCCAGCCTGGTCTACAGAGCAAGTTCCAGGAGAGCCAGTACTACACAGAGAAATTTATCTTGAAAAAAAAAAAAAAGAGACTTCAAGGCCACCTGAACTATACAGTAAGCTCCAGCTGGCTTGACCTACAAATAAGACTCTTCTAAAACAACAACAACAACACACAAGTACACAGACAGATAACTATACACATCAATATGACTACAATATATTTAGAAAGCAGATAACAAGTTGGCTTTGTTGACATTAATATCAAGTCATTGTATGCAACTACAGTTAAGTAAATAAATGGCGATAATAAAAAAATTACAAAAGTATGTATAACATTTATTATCTCAGACTAAGGAAATATTTAGTCAAAAAAACGGTATAAGAAAATCAGCTCTAGTGATTTCTTTAAAGTGTATCGAGGCTTACCGGGTGGCGGTGGCGCACACCTTTAATCCCAGCACTTGGGAGACAGAGGCAGGCGGATCTCTGTGAGTTCGAGGCCAGCCTGGTCTACAGAGCGAGACCCAGGAAAAAAGTTTATCAGGGCTCAATAGCTGTTCAGGGTAATGGAGGTCTATAAAACATTGTATTAGCATTAAAAAACAAAAAAAAAGAATTCAACAAAAGTGCAGTAAGGCCAGCAAAATCGCTCACTGGGTAAAGGTGCTTGTCAGGAAGACTGATGATCCCTGATACCCACATGGGTAGGAGAGAAGTGAGTCCCATAACTTTTCCTCTGCCTTCCACAAGCTCACCACGTCACATGCACACCAATAAACATGCAAACACACAAAATAAAAATGCATTTTTTTTTAAATAAAAAATAGCTCAGCAGCAGGTAGAGTGCTTGCCTATCACACACAAGCCCTTGTTGAATCCCCAGTGCTGGAAACAATGAGCACACCTATAATCCCAGCACCTCATAGGTGGAGACAGGAGAATCAAGTTCAAAATCACCCTCTCCTACAGAGTTCAAAAAATAATCAAGGCTAAATGAGACCTTATCACAGAAAAAAAATAAGGACTGGAGAGATGGTTCAGTCATTAGAAGTACTTCCTGCTCTGCTCTTCCAGAGAATCTGGGTTCAGTTTCTGGCATTCACAGGAGGCAGGCCACAAGGACTCCAATGTGCCGTGTCTGACCTCTACAGGCACCCCGCACACATAAAGACAGGGGCATACACACAAAATTAAAATACAATCTTTTTTGTTTTGTTTTTTGAGACAGGGTTTCTCTGTGTAGCTTTGCGCCTTTCCTGGAACTCACTCTGTAGCCCTGGCTGGCCTCGAATTCAGAGATCCGTCTGCCTCTCTCTGCCTCCCTAGTGCTTGGAATTAAAGGCGTGCGGCTCCACCACCACCTGGCTAAAATACAATCTTTTTTAAACAAAGTAAGTGTACATATACATTGAGAGGAAAGGAAGATATAAAGAGTAAAACTGCAATAGCTCAGTGTCTTGGGAGTATGCAAATTTCAACCCCAAAAAACCTCTCATCCCACTTTCCTAATATATAGGTGTCGGAAGTACATTAAGAACTTATAAAATACATTTGGGGGGGGAGGGTTCAAGACAGGGTTTCTCTGTGTAGCTTGCACCTTTCCTGGAACTCACTTGGTAGCCCAGGCTGGCCTTGAACTCACAGGGATCCACCTGGCTTTGCCTCCCGAGTGCTGGGATTAAAGGCGTGCGCCACCACCGCCCGGCTAAAATACCTTCTTAAAGCTTTCCCCAATTAGAAACAATTTTTAAAAAGTTAACTCAACCTTGACTTACCAGAGAATTTGAGAGAAGCCTAGACTATACATCTTGTCTCAAAAATAAATTTACTTACCTACATATAATTACCACAGAATTTGAGGATAACTAAAATAGCTTACCTGTTGAGATGTCTGAATATTTCCTACTGACATTGGAGTTGGTAAATTGCCGAAGTTTCCAAACTGAGAACTCTGAAGATTCTTTTCATCAAAAGAGTGTCCTGAAGCTCTGGTAAGGGCATTTGGGAAATTCTGGTTTCCAGGGCCATGAGGTCCATTAAAATTTGGTCCTTGAGGGGTATCAAATATTTGTTCGTGTCTTTGGAACTGTAGTCCTTGAGATGGAACATTAAAAGCATTGCCAGGTGGATCATTATATGGGCCAGTCTGATTGAAAGATTCAAGCCTTTGTGAAGGATGATTGTCAAATCGGGTACCTTGCAGACCAAGAGGAATATCAAATCTTGATGCTTGCTGGTGTTGTGGCCCATCAAATCTTTGAGGTACACTATCAAATCTTGGTTGAACCTGCTGTCCAGGTGGCCCATCAAATCTCTGTGGACCTGGCTGAAGAGTTCTTTCCAATCTAGGACCTGGCTGGCCGTGTAATCCATCAAATCTTGGCAAAAGTGATGGCTGGCCTGGCTGTCCATCAAACCTTAAAGAGTGACAACCTTCAAATCTTGGACCACCTTGACCCAGAGGTGATTCAATTCTCAGGCCACCTCCTGGTACAGGACCCTCAAACCTCATTCCACCTCCTTGTTGAACTAAAGGTCCTTCAAACCTGATCCCAACCCCTGGTTGGCCATGTGGTCCCTCAAACCTAAGGTTCCCACCTAGTTGATTATGTCCTTCAAATCTCAGACCAGCTACAGACTGACCATGGGGACCCTCAAACCTCATTCCAACTCCTTGCTGTAGCAAAGGGCCCTCAAATCTGATAGCACCACCTGGCTCACCATGAGGCCCATCAAACCTAATTGCTGCCCCTGATGGACCATGACCCCCCTCAAATCTAAGTCTACCTACAGGCTGACATCGAGGATTATCAAATCTAAGACTGCCCACAGGCTGTCCATGAGGGCCCTCAAACCTCAGACCACCCACAGGTTGACCACGATGTCCTTCGAACCTGAGACCACCCACAGGCTGACCCCCTGGTCCTTCAAATCGCAAACCACCTGTAGATCCCTCAAACCTCAGACTAGGTGAACCTTCAAATCGAAAACCGCCTCCTCCTCCTTGACCAATTGGCCCTTCAAACCGCAGAGGTGTTCCTACTGGTCCTGGAGGACCTTCAAATCTCAAAGGGCACCCACCTCCTAACTGACCTTGTGGTCCTTCAAATCTCATAGGGCCTCCTCCCCCCATTTGTCCTGGTGACCCATCAAACCGAAGAGAACCTGGTGTAGGAGGTCCATCAATTCTAGGGCTTAATTTATTAGGTCCTTCAAAAATCATCTTGGCTGGGCCATCTCGCGTCACAGATGGCCTACCAGGTCCATCAAATAATGGTCGGTCTTCAGCTAAAGCTGTAAGCCGCTGATTTGTATCAAGGCCAGCAAATCTTGATGCTGGACCATCTACAAATGGTTTATCTGAATCTTCATATCTAGGTCGCTTAAGTGGAAAACGATCATTGAATGGAGATCTCTGCTCCTCTCGTACACCTTTTAAAAAGGAAAATAAACATTTTCACTAAAATTAAATTTACATCAAATTTTTTTATAGTTATCTAAAAACTTATCAAAAGATATATCTCACTACATTATGGGTAGGGAAGAGATAGACAGCAACAGTAAGTTAAGAAGATGCCCTTTTGATTCAGATATACCTAAGGTTAAAAAAATTCCCATCCTGTCAAGATACTGTCATTTGACTTTGAGAGCAAGTTACTTAACATCTCCAGTTTTATTTCCTATTTGTAAAATTAGGATAATACATATTTCCTTGGGTTTTGTGAGGATTTAATCAAATTAAATATATAAAAAATAAAAACCTAGTGAAGTACCTGATATAACTGACCTTATAAATTAAGTCCCTTCCCTTTCCATGAGAGGGTGGGGGAAAGGCAACAAACAAGACACACACACACACACACACATACACATACACATACACATACACACACACACACACAGGAAGTCTGAACAGTGATAAGATCCAGCCCCACTTAGCTTGTTCATTTTCCCTTCACTGCTGTGTGATTCAATAGGCATAATCTCATTTAACTTTTTCTACCTTTAGCAGAGACTTGCTCGTCATGTCTTCTCCGGCCCTCATGGGGTGAAAGATTCTCAGCATAAGTACGACTCCCAGATATAGGAGAAAGACGTCTTGCTCTTTCACTAAATTGTTCTTTTCTGTCAAACTGTGCTCCACTATTCCTACTTGCATGTTTACTTTTGGATGGCTCACATTCTATTCCAGACAACAAGGCATCAGTCAAAGGGTAGTCAAAAATATCAGGATCTAAGAGATCAAGTCTTGGAAATGAATGCTGAACCTGTGTCCTTTTCAGTTTTGCTTTATGTTCATAGTAGGTTAATTCAGCATCAGATAAGAGAGGTTTCTTTTTTAATCCACCTTTATTTTCTTCTGTAGGACTATCCCGTACATTGCATCTATGTTTACCTTCTTGATACTGAAATAGCTGTCGAATTTGATGCACAACAACAAGGAACTCATCCTGTGTAATTTCACCAGAAGCTAAACGTTCACTCGTCTGCAGAGGAATGATAAAATGAAATGAAATATTTTAAATATGAAAAATAGAAACACCTGGACAAAAGAAAATGATTACACGAGATCAACCATAGTCACTACCTTTTGAAGTAATTCTCTTTTGCTTGCAAGAGTTAACTCTTTAGGAATCTGAAGATTGGCATCTACACTTAATCGATGTTGCTGCTTTGGGGTTCGAGGTGACAAGATTCCTTTAGTGCTTGACCAGCTCTCCCTATGCCTTAGATGAGGTGGTTTACTATGTTCATCACCCTGTTGTAAGCTGAAACAACAATAACAGTGTTACTTCAAAGTGTTTATTTATAAAATAAAATTCCCAGGCTGTACTTAAGGACAATTTAAGGATCTGGTTAAATAAAACAGGTACATAAAATTTTTTATTTGAAAAAGCAAGCCAAATCGAGTAAGAATTTTGATTTTTAGAGGTTGAGGGTTTGATTCAGAAAGGAATGGTTGGTTGTCTGGCATATGCAAAGTCCCAGGCGGCGGTGGCAGCAGCAGCAGCAACCCACCGCATGCCAAGCCTGTCAAAAAAGATAACATGCTGATGGAGTAGAATCATGAATTCAGGGACAGAATGGGCTAGCCAGCTAGCATGTTTCAGGCCAGGTGGGGCTACATAGCTAGACCCTATAAAATCAATTAAAAACCAAAACCAAGCAACTTTGATTCTTGCATATAAACATACAACCTCAAGTAGATGAGTAAACCTTTCTAAACTCTCATGTTTCTATGAAATAGAAGGTATTTAACCCACTGGGTTTTTTTTTTTTTCACAACTAGAAAAATAATTATAACATTCAATTAATTAGTATCTTCTGATGTTTAAATTAAACTACCTTTAAAATGCATATTCTAAAGCCAGGGATAAAGGATCATACCTATAATCCCAGCATTCAGGAGGCTAAGGAAGACTGCCATGAGATGGAGGCCAGCCTGGGCTACTTAGTGAGTTCAAGCTAGCATGACAGTATGAGAACCTCACCTTAATAAAGTAAAAATACCAAAATAAAAATAATACATTTTGTATTTTACCAAAAACATCAGCAACATACCTTTTATTTTCTTCCCAACCAGATTTCCATCTTTTGGCAGACTTGGAGCTTTGCCAATTCTCTATATTTTCTTTTGGTTCAGCACCTGACTTCATAGAATGTTGACTTGCAGTTTCTTGCGGCCGATCCTCATCCATCTTTTTCAGCCGTCTGGGATCTCGAACATCCTGCTTAGTACTTCTCTTAACATTTCTTTCTTCCCGAGAAGGTGGTGGGAACTCCTCCATATGTGACTGTTTAAGTCCTGACTGACGCATCTTTCCAGCTTTGGGGGCCAAAGTTGGAGACATACTTCTTTGCCTTCGTTTGGGTGACCGTCTATCTCTTCTCTTCGGGGAATGTATAATTGGTGACCGAGACTTAGGTGACCTCGATCTTGATCTCTTCCGAGTACTTGATCTCCCTGGTTTTGTGCCCTGTTTTTCCAATTCTTCTGTAACCATGTCCTGTTTTTGCACAATGCCATTTATGATTTTACTTCTACTTCCAATCAGTCTGTGTTCAGATGATTTCATGTGCTCATCTTTATCCTTCTTTTCTGCAGTTTTTCTCTTTTCTTTTACATCTTCATCTTTGCCCTCAGCTTTATCCTGAAGATGCTTTTTTAATCGTGGATCTCTTTTGTTCATATCAGACAACCTCATACTTTCAGATTCTTGATTTTTCAAGTCTTTTGGGTGGGATAATTTGTTTTTCAAAGGTGATGGTGATTTAGATTTAGATTTAGATTTAGAATCTAACTGGTCAAGTTCTTTCTTGGTTATTCTTTCACTTGATTTACTTTTTTCTTGCTTGGATGAATTTAGTTTTTCAGAGGGTACAGTTTTACTTGTTTTAATATCAGACTGATTTAATGTGTTCATTACAAATTCCTTCCTATGACTCTGTTCTTTGCCATGGGAAGAATGTTGGCTCATCCTGTTAAGACGGGGATCCCGGTTAGTGCCTTTCAAGTCTTGAATTTGTAAGGATGGACCCGGTCGGCTTTTGTCAGGTTGCACAGAAACCTGATGGGGAGTTTTAACAGCCATAGTGGGAATTTGTGAAACATGTAATTTAGATGGTGCTGATCCAGCACCCAAGTTGGCTGTCTCCTGCTGAACGCTAAGAGATACTGCCTGAAATACAAAAAAATGTTCATGTTAAAACCATAACCCACGAAGAATATTTTATTTCCTTTTGTCATTATATAGATTACAGTCAAGATTAGAAATTTTCAATAAATCTATTTGCTCAATACTGCATTAACACTATACACTTTTTTGGGAGGGAGGGGTAAGGTGGTAAGGGTCTCACTATGTAACCCAGGCAGGCCTAGAACAAACACACACATCTGCCTATCTCTAGTTCCCAGTGCTGGAATTAAAGGCATGCATCACCAAGCATGGCAACACTCTATACTCCTAACGTATAAATATAATGAAGAGAGAGTCCAAGCATCTAAATGATCTTCCCTCTTACCAGATCTTTACTCTGTATTTTAGAATATAATTTCTAATACAGTAGTTCTTCAAAACCATCCAAGATTCTAAACCAGACTGTAGTTCAAAAACAATTACATGACTAAACTCCAAATGCTCTGCACAAAAGGATTCTAATTAAACTTTGTCATAAAATGGTTTCTCTCAAAATGCTAATGAACTCGTAAAACTCTGTCTTCCTACACCTCAATCTTAAAACTTAGATACTAAGTAAATATTAGTCTTTCATAAGTACAAATATACATGCTCTCAGGTCTCTATATTTTTGTAAACTTTTAAGAATATGATTTGTTCATGAATTCACCACAATACACTTACTATTTTAGGACTAAAAGATTAAATCCCTATTAAGACAATGGTAAAACAAAACTACAGTGCTACCCTGGTAAGAGTATATATTTGTTTTTCTAGTGTTTTGAGACATGCTGCCAGGCTGGCCTCAAACTTGCTATGTGACTAAGGATGATCTTGAACTTCTGATTCTCCTGCCTCTTGTTCCCAAGTGCAGATTACAGACTTCTGCCATCATACCTGGTTGTTTGTAATAGGGTAATATACCAACTAAGGTATATATATTTCCATCCTCCTAAGATAGCAATTTCATTAAAAATATTGAGAAACAGAATACAGTTTATAAGCAAGTGTTTTATAAGGTTATAAAATACTGGCTTAATATCAATTTTTTAAATAAGTAGGAAAAAAGAATCATCAATGAAATATTCGTATGTGAATTCTATTCACTTCCCTATTAGAACGTTTAAAGACTTAATTGTCAAATCTCCCCTACTTACCAATTGTGCCTTAGCTTGTTCTAACTCAAGCTCCAGCTTTTTCTGCTGAAGTTCTAACAACTGTTTTTGTTTTGCAAGCAACTGTTGCCTTATTATTTGTTCTTGAGTAAGATTCTTTTGTATGTCAGGTACAATGGGAGGAGTGGAGATACTGGGGGAACTGACCACTGTGCCAGGGGTTGAAGACTCCTCAGGCTGTAAGAAAAGATACTTTTTAAGCAAAACATATCATAGCTAAAACTGCCAAAGGTCAACAAACAATTATCAACTTTACCTTACTATTATCCAAAGTCACAAATATTTAATCACACTTAAAAGTACACATCCATGTACACATACACACATGCTTAGGCATTTTAAATGGCAAATGTTACATAGTAAGACATGGTGATTACCTATATACATTTATTACCTCTTCAAATTAAACTGATTGTAGTTTTGCTTTTTGGATATTTTATAAAAGTTAGCACCTGATAGTCAAATTGTACTAGCATATACACTATTCGTATCAAGACTTACCGATTTATTTAAAAATTTCGGGTTCACATGGATGCTAGATGTATTCACATTAGGGGGCAGAGGTTTAATAGGCCAAGCAGGATCTAATGAATTGACTCTGACATCCAAGGCATAAAGTTTCTTCAAAGGGAATATTTCATCCCATGTGGAACGTAATTTAAATAAACTTTTTCTAGTATTTTCATCCACCTAGAACAACAGAACAATTCTCTGGCTTGTTAAGTTACTATAGAATGTTATGTATATTAAGTATAAAGCTACCTGCCACTTCACAGTGTCCATTTATACATAAATATCAAAGACTTATTAAAGTGCATTTGATTATTAAAGAAAATTACTCCTCAAAAAAAAATCAGAAAAGTATTTATCTAACAGACTTCAAGCAAGCAACCAAACAACTTGTTATGTTTTTAAAAACAGTCTCCACATTTTAGGGCTTGATATAATATTCCTAATAAACTCACTGGATTAAAAAACAAAGCCAGAAAATAGTTTACCTGATGGCCAATTTTTTAAAGTTTCTTCTTATTAGCATACAGTCAAAATAGATAAAATGATCTAACCAATCTAATACAACATACTGTATAAATAATCTATTGTGTACAGAAGACACCCTCATAATTTTAATTCACAAAATCCTAGCCAAAGATGGACATTATATAACTTGCTTACTCATATTGTAATGGATATAATTAATTTTTAGAAAACAGAAAAACCCAGTAACTTGGTAAGACAAGTTTTTTAACTCCAGTCTTTTTACCTATATTCATGTCTTTAGAGAATATATTTATGAGGTCATTTTTATTAACTGAAATAAAATTAAAGTTAGATTCTGTAAAAGTACGACACCAAACCCCCAAATAATTGGAACATACTGAAACCAAGTTAAGTTGCCCTAAATTACTTATTGCACAGATGGCTGTCCTTAGCCACAGGTAATTAGTACTTAGCAAAGAGCTACAAATATTCATACTACTGATACTTCTTAGTAATATCTGAAACACAGCTTTCCAAACTTATTCTTCTACACTATTTCTATCCCAATAAGATCTAATGTGGTTTTTCTATTAAAAAAGAAAAAAAACACAACTGCCTAATTCTACCATTCAGACAGTTGTTAAGGTATGTCCTATAACAAGTACATCTAATAGAACATAACACCAACTACAAGTTATTGTTAGAAAAGAATCTTTAAACCTAAATACCTTCAAGGGCCCTTCTGCTCAGTGTGACAGAATTATCTCAGAGAAACGCCTCCTGTTAACTACCAGTTACAATGTCTCAATGGTACATACAATTTCTAGCTGTGGACACTAACAAGCATTTCTCCCAAACACTAGAGAGGAATAAAGGTATTTCCATAATAACCTAAAGCAATTAACTGGTTCACCATCCATACATCCCTGTAACTCACACTTTAACAACATAACAAGCTTGGTCCAAAGGGCATTTTGGGAAATAATAATAGGAACCATAGACTGAGGCACACTGGAGGATTATGCTTCCTACTCACCAGCACTAGACATTTAAACAACAACAACAAAAAAAACCTAATACTCTGAAAGCTATTAGCTTTTTGTCCATACTCTACAAACAGCTTCACATGACCAATAACCACATTTTGAAAATACACAATTCTAAAAGTTAAAGTATATTTGAGTGAATTAAAAAGCATCTGTTTTAAGGCTCTAATGAAAAAAAAAAAGAAAAAGAAAAAGAAAAAAAAAACTATCATTTGCCACTTTCCTTGAAAAGGCACGCAATCAATGTTCCGGAGAATGAAACATTCCACCACCCAAGAAAACCCAACACAAGACAAGTATTTATTTAATCTGGAACACATTATAAAAATTCAAATGTTTCTAAATATATATATATGTATGTATGTATGTATATATATATATATATATATACCTTTTCAAAAACACAAATAAATGTTGCAACTAGATTTTTAGTAAAGGCAGTGAGATACTCTCTTCCAACGTTTTTCACGATAGAATCCATAAGGTACATAACAGGAAGCTTCTCTGAGGAAGGAGCCTAAAGTATAAAAAAGAAACTGAGAAGTTTAGTATAGTGAATTGCCACCAAGGAATTACTTTTAAAAGTGTTTTTAAGCCTATAATACAGACCTCTAGTTTTGTTGGTACAAAATGCTTTTGATTATGTTAACTTTATAAGCCTAAGTGTTCAAGTACTTGTTTTTAGTTGTGCATTAAAAAAAAAACCTCAGAATTATCAAGAAAAAAACATAACCTCTAATACTTAATACTCAACTTAATTTCAGGTGCATGTAATAAAAAGGCCCGTGTTCAAAATGACAATAAAAGGAGAGGAAAAATATTTTCTGTAATCCAAGTGTCAGCTTTGATATCTGTGTTTATGTTGTGCTGGTTTCACTGGGTAATTTTATATGTTAAAGTCTATAAAGCTTTGTTACCTATAAAATCATTGATTGCTTCCTATAATCCAAATGAAGAATGAAACTAAACACACTTCACATAAGTCAATGACAAGACGCTTAAAACTTGCACATGAACATGCAGAAGTGCAAGCTTGTTATTGATACAAGAAAAACTGGACAGAGGAGCCGCTGAGTCATGTCAGTCAGGTTCAACTTGACTGGAAACCTGGATGTCCTGAAGATTTTCTTCACAGCATGGACTGTCGTCGAAATATTTCTCCTCTTACATGCACAAACCAGGAATTCTAAATTTGTGCTGAGCCAGTGTGGTGATGCTGATAAAGGTACCAGCCCTTCCAAGGTAAAGTTGCCCCGGGTGAACTGCAAAGCCTACCCAACACTGGCTTTTAGAAGGCACAGCAAGCTTCCAGAAAGCATCAGCAGGTTCACAGACTTGTTGAGGAGCACTAAGACATGCCATATAAGCTGTTAACTGACTCCACAGGAGTACCCATGATTTCAGAAAACAAAACTTAAGTGAATCCCCAACTACCCACCCCCACGTGTATGAATCTAACTGAACACTTACCCATAGCTACCTGTAGCTAGAAGCAGGCACACACTCCTGGGGTATGCAATGCCATGCTTCACAAAACCAATTGCCCTGACAAGTGTGTGGAAATGCTCTTGCTTCTGATATCACCTTTACAACCAAAGTTGACTAAAGAAACATTTGAATAACTCTGTATGAAAACCTTAGATGCTAATAAAAGGGTTCACAAGGCCACTGTGTGTGGGCAAACTATTAAGTACCAACATGTCAAATGCTTTATTGCTGTGTCTTCACCTTATGTTTTGTTTTATACCATTTAAGTAATTATTGTACTTAGGAAGATAAACAGGCTCTTTTAACACCACAATCTGTTCAAGAGACTAGTGTTTGATTGTACAAGGGAAGTCCTATGTAATACTCTTTTTCGCTACTGCTATCTTATGGGAAGAGTGAAATTAAGTGTGAGTCCATTAGTTCAGTATTGCTGAGATGCTAAAGAATAAGGACACAAGCATACACTTCCAGAAACACAAAAACCAAGCCAGCTGCTACCAAATGACGGCAAACCCTCCCCTCACCCCCAACCCAGGTTAAGATTCTTTCCCAAAGTGACCTTTACATCTTCTACTTAGTCTGGCTTTACAAAAATAACCAGGAAACATGTGCTCAAAAACTTCGAGCTGTCTTTTACCAGCAAATAGTCCACCTATTTTCACCACTTTGTGTAACAAAATACACAAATACAAGTTTTATGTGGTCAATATATTCTGCATAAAGTTTTCAGTTCTCCAAGGTCTTGTAGATCCATTAAGAACCAGTAAGGAAGCTGTCTCCTTTGAGTGCAATCGGGGCTGCTAACTATTAGGTGCTGTGAATATCATTACCCAAAATATAGTTTGGAAACCTTGGTTATGAACCTAATGTTAAGTCTTCAACAAGGCAAAACTACATTTTCTCCGACAACATGTATGTGGTTATCAACAAAAATCTGAGTATGAGGAGCACTTCCTTCTTAAACCTCATACTTTAAAAACAGCTGTTTCACAGGCATTCAACAGGAAAAGGTGAATGGAGACTTGTTTTAGCTGTCAAAATGAACATGATAAATTTGTTGAGCCCTTAAAAAAAAAATAAAAACCTTTCCCCCTCTTTAAATAAGGTATGAAAGGACCACGTGAAACCGTGTATCTTGTGAACTGATGGACCTAAAGAAGAATGAACCCAAGTCACTTAAAGACTTTTGTTTAAAACACACAACCACGTAAGTAAAAATACTTGGAAACAGATTCTACACCTTACAAAGGTAAATAAAAAAGACAAATACATATTTTATATGTTTTATTCACAAATTTTATAATACCAGTCACACATTTCAAAACCATTTATTAGAGTCAGACTACTCAGTTTTACACTAGACAGAAACCGTCTCTAAACAATATATTGGTGGTTGTTGTTAAAGTGGCCTTTTAAAAGGGGTTCACTCTGCTAAAAGGAGGCTCATCCTGATAACTGCAACACTAACAACTAGAAAAAAAACTAAACCTTAAATACAAGCTTGAAAAGTAACTTAAAACGTATTAATTGGGAAGCGGTTAAGATTCATTATAACTAAGTTTAACAGTAACTTTACTTAAAGGACATATCGCTCCCACATGAACCCCCAGAAGAGGAAGACCACAGGGAAATAGAAGGTAGCAAAGGACCACTTTGGTCAAGGGGTGAAGAAAAGCAAAGCCTTCACTATCAGGGAAGGGGGGGGGAGAGAAAAGGAAAAAGAGGGGCTGAAATTTCCAAAGAAACTCAAGTATTTGCTACCCACTGGGGCAATTCCCAACCTACAGGTTGGATAAGATCTTCCCCTCACACCCAAACCCCACCCTCTGCTCAATTTCCCTACCATTGGGGCAAATCAGACCCTCCGAGAGGAGACTAAAAGTTTGATCTAACATCCCCCACCCCAAAATGGGGCTGACGGGTGTGAGCAGCTGCCTGGCTGGCAGGGAATGGATTCTCCTCTCTTCCCTTTCGCATCATGTGCTTTGCAGGCGCCATGTTGAGCTAACAGGCCGCTGCTCCACTCGGGGCCAATTCCCTATACCCAACCCACCAGACAGCTCGCTCCCAGGTCCCCCTTCACCTCCTTCCAACCTCAACCCACAGAGCACAATTCCCCAAAAGGACACTAAGGGAAAGCCCCTCCCCACCTTCCCGGGGGCTTAGGATGGTTTGTTTTAACTCTTACTCTCCCAAACCACAAACTGCCTCTAAGTGTTCCCCGATCCGAAAGGGCTGTCCCCAGAGCGTGCGAGCGTGGGGACGTACTCCGAGGTGGCCTAAATAGGGAGTTGGTGAGCGGAAACGGGGCTCCACCCTGCATCCTCCCCGCTCCCTCCCCGAAAGAGGCCCACGCTCCCAGCCAGGGCCAAAGACCAAGCCCGAGTCGGGGGTGGGGGGTTGGAGAGGAGGAACTCCGTTCCCCCTCTTCGGATGGAAGCGAGACCTGGGATGAGGCTGACACTAAAATCAAGGAGTATTAGAAGAATAGTAGGCTGCGGGGTGTATAAAAACCTTGGCGGTTTGGGCCTCGATGAGAGAGACGATCTCCTTGGCGAAGGGCAGGTTCTCCTCGGCTAGAATGGTCAGCATATTGATGTGCGGTTTGCTATTGAAGGTCAGGTCTTCCAGCGACGACTGATAATCCCGACAGGCGTCCTCCCGGGCCCCCGCAGCCCCGGCCTCGGCCGGCGTCTGCTCTGACATTGCGCCGCGGCCCCCCTCCGAGGTCCGCCGCCGCCGAAGCTGAAGCCGCTCGACACCCCGCCTCCCTTCCGACGCCTCGGCCTCGCTCCCCGGGTCTCCGGCGGCTGCGGCTTCACCACATGCTGACCGCGGAGGGGGGATGGGGGACGACCCAGGGGGAACCTCGGGGAAGAAACGCCGCAGCCTCACGGGGAATCTCCGTCCACTTCCAGCCGCCGCCGGGGCTCCTTTCTCCACAGACACAAAATGGCGGCGGCAGCGGCGGCTCCAGCTCCGAAAATGTCTGTGTTCCCAACCGCTGCGTCGTGCGAAATGAACTAGGGGAGGGGAAATGTGCGGTAAAGGGGCGGGGCCGTTGGGAACACCCGGCGGGATTGGCTGGCCCGCGCGTGTCACAGGCCCCGCCCCCGGCTCTTCCGCAGGACGTCCAGGCGCCTCCTGCTTCCTTCGCCCCGGCTAGGTTTTCGCAGCACCTCCCGCTCGGAGGCGCGGTGCAAAGGACGGTCGGCTCTCATTGGCCAGTTCGTAAGGGACTGTTCGGTCATTTGTTACCATAACAACCCACCCGGGGAAGCCAATAGAGGACGGCTGTTCCCGAGGACCGGCCCAACCAGTTTAAGAAAGCTCCACCAGGCCCCTTTTCGTCCCTCCTCTGCACTCCTCCAAGCCCAGGGCGGCCCCGTCCATCATCCCTCCTCCCGCCTGCCACTGCGGTGAGGGCGGGGGATGGAGGGAGCTGGGGGAGCGAAGGCCTCCAGAGCAGGCCAGTCAGTCGCCTCAGTCTCAGGTGCTCCCGGGAGCCTGGGCGGGGCTCGCCCGGCCAGCTGTTCCTCCGGCTTTAAGGCGAGGGCGGAGGTGCCTGGCCTACCCGGAACCCAGACTGGAGTCACTCCTGCCAGCAGCTTCCCTCATAAAAGCACCTAGACAGGCTTGCAGGAGTTGGGTCCCCAGGAAAATGTTGTTATTAAGAGGTGCTATGTGAGAAAGGTGATCCCCAAGGAGTTGGAGATCTTTTGAGGAAGTCACATTTCTGGAAGAATATTCATAATAGCAACACCCAGCCCCAAGCCTAAGAGCTCTCATCTCTTAATCTGCTTCACTTCTAAATGACCTTAGAATGCAGTATCTGAGCCTTGCTTGGTGGCTCAGTCCTTTAACCCCAGCATGAGGAGGCAGAGGAAGGTGGAACTCTGTGAATTCGAGGCCAGCCAAGTTCCAGCCCAGCCAGTGCTACATAGCAAGGCCTTATCTCTAAAACCAAACATGCGGGGGCTGGAGAAATGGCTCAGAGGTTAAGAGCACTGACTGCTCTTCCAGAGGTCCTGAGTTCAATTCCCAGCACCCACATGGTGGCTCATAACCATCTGTAATGAGATCTGTATGCATAATAAATAAATAAACCTTAAAAAAAAAAAAACCAAACATGCGCCGCCAGGGCGGTGGTGGTGCACGCCTTTAATCCCAGCAATCCGGAGGCAGAGCCAGGCAGATCTCTGTGAGTTCGAGGCCAGCCTGGTCTACAGAGAGAGATCCAGGACAGGCACCAAAACTACATAGAGAGACCCTGTCTCGAAAACCAAAAACAAACAAAAAACAAGCATGCATTTAATCCCCGCACTGAGGAGGCAGAAGCAGTCTGATCGCTGAGTTTGAAATTGTAAATTCTAGGAAAACTAGGGTGATAAAGAGAGACCCTGCCTCAAAACAACAATAAAATAAATAATACACTTATTTGTCCTGGCGGTGATAGCCCATGCCTTTAATCCCAGCATTTGGGAGGCAGAGGCAGATCACTGAGTTTGAGGCCAGCCTTGTCTACAGAGGACAGCCAAGGCTGGCTACACAGAGACCCTGTCTTGAAAAACACAAAACACCACCACAGAATCTGAGCTGGTTCAGTAGTTAAGAGCAGTGCTCTTCGAGAGGACCAGAATTCCATTTCCAAGACTCACCTTACATCCACAAGGCAGCATATAAATATATAACTCCAGTCCCAGGAGATGATGCCCTCTTCTGGCCTCTGAGGCCACTAAACATGCCATGGTGTATGTACATACCCATATGTGCAGGCAAAATACCCATACACATTATAAATTTTAAAAAGTAAAATTTACATGTCAGTTTGTTTTGAGGGTTGAAATTATTATGAGTCATAATAAAACAACTTTTTTTAGCACTCTTGTTATTTCTAATACTGAGCCTTAGTTTGAAAGGCTGAGTTAATTCACCCTCTTCCTGGACTAGTCTCCAAGAAATAACCTAGGCCAAGGCAAAAATAAAGCCCCTTAGGTAAGTGAATTAAACTACTGATGAGATGTATGTGTAGAGAACACTTAACTCGGGATAATCAATCAAAGCACAGAGTTGAGTAAAATGATTTCACTTGGTTTCTTCAGCACAACTTCCTAGCTTCATCACTAAACATTGTTTGACTTCTGTCAGTTGCTTTCTAGGATGTGAAAAAAAAAAGTGATAATTTTCATTTCATAATGTGTTACAAAGATGGGATGAAATGTGTATTTGAACCCACAACTCCACTTCCAACAACGCAAAACAGATGGTAGCCATTGTTAGCATGTTGCTAAGATTGCTAAGAAAAGCCTAACATTTCTTTTCCCCATTCTATTCTTCTTTGATTACCAGTTGAAGCCCTAAGCATGCTTTCCTGAAACTGTGGGCTTTCTCCCTGTTTTCCATAAAGACAACCCCATTTCTACTTTGTGCAGCTGCTTGAAGACTTCCATTGCTGGATCTGCCTGCTTTCTTTCTTTCTTTCTTTCTTCCTTTTTTTTTTTTTTCCTGGCCTTAAACTCACAGAGACCCACCTGCCTCTGCCTTCCAAGTGCTGGGATTAAAGGCGTGTGCCATCACCGCCCAGTTCTGCCTGCTTTCTTGGATCCTAATTCAAAGGTAAAGCTATCTGTTTCTCCTCTCCATCTCCCTCCTCCCAGGTGCTGCCAGGATTTACATCTTACCCTCTCCGTGGTTTCCCCTCACACTATAATAAAATGGTCCTCAAGCTTTAACAAAAGGATTAATTAAACACATGAGAAATAAAGTACATAGAAGTATATTCATTCAGGATGATTTAAGAGAAAAAACAACTGAAACCAGGTAACTGTCAGCTGGTACAGACAACTTAAGTTATCTACATGTGTGCAACTGAATAGCAGTTATCAACCCTTTGGTGTCAGGACAGTGTTACACTCTTAAATACTATTAAGAACTCTGAGCCGGGCAGGGTTGGCACACACCTTTAATCCCAGCACTCGGGAGGCAGAGCCAGGCAGATCTCTGGGAGTT